CTTTAACAGTGGTAGGTAAGTCAATAAACTCTATGGGCAGATCATTAATATTAATATTATCTTCCCAATGTCCTGAATCAATAGGTTTTGGAAATAATGGTAAAATAGGTAAAATATTTCCACAATTATGATCAATGTTATCAAAATTGTTATTTTCTCTCGGTGAAACTTCTGGCGCGGCAACTAATTCTAATATCAGCTCTGTCCGAGATTTGTAGGAAGCCATCTAAAATAATATAACAACCATAATCTAGTTTCTTTAAATAACACGTTACAAGTCATAAAAAATGTATAATTTGATTCCTTGAAGTTTTTTCAATTAATATTTTAACTTTACTTTTAGTCTGAAAACCATGTAAGTCCCTAGCAGTGAATATTTTAACATTAATTTTAATATGAAAACCGTGTAAGTCTACATCAACAGGTTAAGAATTTCATTTAAAAATTACTGTTAATTAAAATGGGATAAAAACAGTGTACATACCTTCTTAGCTATTTAAGTTTAAATTTAACTGGAAAACATTAACTGTTGCTAGCACTTCTAAGCCAAAACCATCAATTTTTAAGACCGATTACTTACTAACCTCCAAATTAATGTCAGCACGTTTTCACAGACCACTCACAGACATAGAAGGTTTTCAGAACTATTTTAGACTGAGAGACATAGAAGTTCCTCGTGTTTCCACTAGGGACGAGTTCCGATTGGTCTCGACTTAGAATCTATTCACAGTTATGTCGGGACGGATTTATTAAATTATTTCCGTAAAAAACCCCAAATGACCGAAAATCGGACTTAGAAGGTTTTACAGGTAAGCCGACGATATATATATATATATCCGGTTTTTTTAGGCGTTACGCCCTTCCGGTAGGGATCTATGGAGGAGTATCACCGAGCCGCAAGCCCTTATCTCTTGCCGTACTGCTCCACCATAGGCCGATCAGATCCCAGCATATTCTAGTCTGAGCCGCAGATTCATCTAGAATTTTAAACTGCTACGTTAGACTTTTTGGTTTCTGTACACCGAGCTGGGGCTCGATCCCACATCCACTTAACCATTCGACAGTGAAGCGAATGAGAGGCAGCCGCACAGCCCGCTGAGCTATCTGACCGACTGCTTCTTTTTATCGAATCATAATATGCTTGCTGGAAATCTATGAAAATTTGGTGTACATCTCGGTTGAATTCCCAGTTTATTTTTAATATTTATCGAATTGTGAATATTTAATCTATTGTTGACCTTCCTGCATGAAAGCCGGATTGATAGTCTCCTAGAATATCTTCCAAATACGAAGTGCTGTGCTAGGAAGCGATATGTCTATAGTTTTGAAATTTGTTCTTTATCTCCCTTCTTATGTATGGGTATTATAACGCTTCCGTTCCATTACCTAGGCATTTTCTGTTATTGCGTTACTCAGAATAATGCCATCTCAATTTTTGATGTAAAAAGATTTCTCCTTTTTTTATTAATTCTGAATTTATACCATCATTACCTGACTTGCTTTTGCATTCTTTACTTCTTAAAGTGTTGGTGCTGCAGATCTGCAGAATGGAATGTAATATCTGCTTTCCTCATCTCAATTTTAATATTTGGTAAATTTCAAAAGTATACCATATACTGTTTACCAATTACTTCTCTTAAATAGTCTTCCTTACCTAGTTTAGTCCTCCATTACTATTTTCAAGCCGTGTTTTGGAGCCGCTTTGCTTTATAGTGTTGGTCTAATAATTCGTAAAATTCGTTCTTCCCATTTTCTTCGGCATCTTCTGTTGGGGCATATATTGAGAATATAATGAGATTGAACTTCTTACCTTTGAGGCTAATATAGCAGATTCGTTCGTGTATTGTCTTGAAATCTACCACTGCCGTTTTTAATCTTTTTGTAATGACAAATCCACATCTGTATTCATGTCTGTTCTCACTATCCCACCAAAAGACTATAGCAGCTTCCATTTCCAAATTTCCTGTTGCTGTCCATCTCATTACCTTCATTGCTGTTATATCCATGTTATATTTTTGCAATTTTCTAATGTCCCTTGTGGCTATTCCAGATCTGTACCAACTTAACACATTCCCCATTCCTATGCAAATGTCCTTATTCCGTTGCGTGTATCGTTTATATTGAATATCCGTCCTGTTCCGAGGCAATAGTTTCTGTTTCGTGGCTTCTAATTTTTACGCTTACTATAGTTTATTTTTATGAACGAGAGAGTAATTAGCATAATTTTAACTGGTACCTCCGCCCACTCCATGGGCGTGCTCAAGATTAATTGAAAAATTACTTTGAATAATTGTAAAAAATAAATGAATTATTTCAGTGTTATAAAGTGTTATGTGTATGTAAACAAAAGTGACCTCTTTTATCAAACACTATATTAGAACTGACTGGCCTACATTAAAAAGGGTTTTAAAAAATTCACATTTTTTTTAATTTTTAAAAATTACAAAAGAGAAAAAGAATTTTTAAAACCGTCTAAGGTATGTTAAATAGATGAATAAAAATATTAATATAAAACTTACAGCTACTTGTTACAAATCCAAATCAGATTCAGAAGATGAACTTTCAGAACCAAAATTTATAATAACTGGCTCGATCATTTTATCAGTAATATTGTCCAGCTTCCACATTTTTTCCTCTTCTTTAATAGTGTGATTTACTGCCTTTTCCCAGTTTTCAGGTTTTACATTATTTACGGCCTCCAAAAACAACTGTTTAACATCATGAATTTTAAAAGTGGTATTTTTTCTTGAAACTTCACTTTTTATCTGTGCCCATACCAGTTCAATCGGGTTTAATTCACAATGATATGGTGGGGATCTAAGTACTGTCATTCCACGATTTTTGGCAATTTCATCAATTTCGTATTTTTTAAATTTTTCTTTATGAAGGGCACACAACGAATAAAGTTCCTTTCTTATAGATCCGGGATGGTACGTAATATTTTTTGAACTCAGCCAATTCTGCAAGTCTTTTTTTAACCACTTGGTTGTGGGCAGTCCTTCTGTAAGTCTGGAGTGATAACTTACATTATCCATTACTATTACACAGTTCTTAGGAAGAAGATCTATCATTTGTTCGAACCATTCTTGAAACACATCAGCGTTCATGTCTTCATGGTAGTCACCGGTACGAGTTGATTCAAAAGTTAATAAACCACTTTCAACAAAACCGTCTGAACTGCCAATGTGTACTATTATCAGCCTGCGTCCCTTTCCTGATGGTGGGTTTAAACCAGTAGATAAGTTATTGACAAAAGCGTGCCTTTGACTTGTAACAGTTTCATCCTGCCAAAATTTATTTGGTGTATGACCCTCGTTGATCCATGTTTCATCAAGATAAAATATTTTTCTTTTTTGGTTTCTCATTTCCTTTATGGTTCTTAGAAAATGTCTTCTCCATATGACAATATCGCTTCTTTCTAATAAAATAGACTTTCTGGGATTCTTTTTCCAGCGGAAGCCTATTTCTTTTAAAAGTTTCCATAACGTACTTCGACTCATTTCTGGGTAATCCTTATCATCTCGAATTGAGACAAGAACTTTATCCAATGTTGGAAATTCTTGTCTAAAGAAGAATTCATGCACTTTCCGTCGAAGTCCTTCTTTAAAATGATATTCTATTTGAAATTTTGGTTTCCCTGGAGCATTACGTGGCATTTGAAAACTACCACATTTCTCTTCTTTAATAACTCTGTAAATCGTAGATTTCCCAACACCAAGTGTACTGCTAACTAACTCAACGGTCTCATCAACACTTTCACATAAACGTTTGTCTGTAAATGATTTAAAACAATTAAATATTAATGTTTTTTCATTAACTGTTAAAGGACCAATTTTTCGGCGTTTACACGGCACTTCCAAATTTTCCATAACACTAGTATACACAATAAACTGCACCTTGCAACTGAAGTACCTACTTTTAGTGAACTGTTAAGAATTTTGAATACGCCACTTGGACCTTCCTACAAAATGGAAAAACCCACTATCACATTTTCTGTGGAATAAGTTTAGAAGGTAATTATCTAGTCAATTACTGTCGTAGATTCCTGGAATTAAAGAATTAAATGTTTGATTGTTGAAACCCTTACTTCGTGGAATGCACTCATTTCAGATAAAATAAAACGTTTTATTTTATCTTAAGAATTAAACTTTATTTTGCAAATAGGTAGGTACTTATTAAACTTTTATTGGTTATATATAACCAATAAAATAAACATCTTACATTTCTTGCAAATTCATTAGTACCTGTTAACCTCCATCACTCCGACACTGGCAACCTTATTTAGGGATTAGTAACCCTCACAACTATTGTATTCTATTCTGCTCCAACCTTTATACCTGGTGGTCATACTCAATTTAAAATTGTTTTCCTATATACTTCTGTAAACTTGTTAACAAATATCTGTTTTTCATTGAGTCACCCGTATCAACAGTTTAGGGATTTGCATACATAATTTATTGTTTTATTACTCTCTCATACATAAAAATACACTATAAACGCCGGCCAGTAGCACAACCCCCTTTTCGGAGGATCATTTCACTCGCTCCCATCAGTTCCTGACCCAACTTTAATAGTAGATATATTCTAATAAAAACTCGAACTACTCTGTCATTCTCAGATGACTCAAACATGCTTCCGGGTGTTCACGAGCCAACTATTATATTAAACTATTAAATGCCCCTAGTGTATGTCTAGGGGCAAGTCTATTTTTCTGAAGTATTTGTTTTTATCTCTAATGCTAGAATTTGCACAGTAACATTAATACTTGCACTTACTATTGCAGTTGATGCCATTTTAAATACCACGCTCGTTTAAAATAACATAAATGTGTGGAAACCAATGCTGGCGCTAGAAAACTGTTATGCAACTAACGCCAATAATCAGCGCAGGTGGAAACCCACATACGGAGTGTTTCCATTACACCATTAGGAGTATATGGCTGTTCAATATTTAATTTAATATGGCGATTTTATTAATTTGTTTAAAATATTTATTTTTAGAGCCATGATGTTATTTGTGGGAATGAACCAGATAAAAGTACTGGGAGTTACATGTCTTCCTACTATTTATCTTATCAATTACTACCGTTGCTGGCACATAATAAAGAAATAAAGTTACCTAATCATCCTCGTGTGGGAAGAATGCCAAAACATGAGGAACAATTTAAGAATTACGTAAGTAAAGATTTTGTTGGAATAGAACAAGTTCTTCAATATCTGCCTCCATTAAAAAAATATTGTTTTAGGGTAATCAATGTAATTATGGTCTTGGACAATATAAAAAATCCATTTGGGAGTTTGAACAGAACGATCCTAGAAAAACAGCAGAAACAATAAATGAGTCGGTTTATCCAAAGCCAACAAATGAATATTATACATTTTACAGATGGTAAAAAGTGTCAAAAATATACGTTAACATTTAAATATCTAATTACGATATATCCTTCTTCTTACATCGGACAAGACATTACCTGTTTCCGGCAGATGGTCGTGACGTTCTTACATTAAGAGCAGAAAGTCATGTGCTGAAACCATATCAATAAGCCATAACTTTCTTATTGGGAGTTATAATTTCTCATAACTACGCATATCAGATCTACAAAAGATGCGGGTTCAAACTTTAGTGTCTGGTATGCTTGCTCCTGTGACATTTCTTGTCTTAGCACTATACAGTTAATGATACGGCTTTCAATGCAATATTTTTAATCCTTCCTCGGACTCCTTGTCGATCCATAGATAAATCATCCATTCCATCGGCAACCGACTTGAGTCTAGTATTGTCCAGTGCTAAGTATCGGTCCAAGAGTCCACATCTTTTCATCGATAAGTTTTATTAGGGCATCTACTTTTATTCTTCTTCTTCGCGTGCCATATTAGAATTATCCGACGTTGGCGATCACCATTGCGAAGGCTTCTCGATCTTCTGCCATATGGAATAATTGTCCTGAATTTGGTATCTGAGTCCATTCACGAATGTTTTTTAACCAAGAAACTTGTTTTCTTCCTACACCTCTATTTTGCCTTTAAGGATCAGTTGCAAAATTTTATACCGACTATATGTCCCAGATAAGACATTTTTCGATGCTTAACAGTCTTTAGCAGTTCTTTATCTTTGTTGACACTCCTTAGTACTTCTTCATTAGTTTTTCTTGCTGTCCAAGGTATCTTCAGCATTCGTCTATGAACCCACATCTCTATTGCTTCAATTTTGTTCATGATAGATACTTTTAGCGTCCACACTTCTGCACTATTCAAAAGTACAGACCAAACATAGCACTTAACCAGTCAACCATTCTTTGCCTTAGTTCTAAACTGAGATGGTTATTGCAAAGAAATGTCTTCATTTTCATAAAAGTAGTTTTAGTCATTGCTATTCTACGTTTTATTTCTATGTCTGGATCTAGTCGGTCCGTTATCATAGTTCCCAAATATGTCATTTTGTGAACTTTCTCAACTTGGACTCCGTTCAATTGAAGCTTTGCATTAGGATGTGGGTCACGACTAAACACTAAAAATTTGGTTTTGTTTGAGTTTATTTTAATGCTCATTTCCTGTTCTACCTCGTGAATACGATCAAGCAGAATTTGAAGACCTCCAATATTATCTGATAGAATTACTGTATCGTCTGCATATCTAATGACATTAAGTAGTTTTCCGTTGATTTTTATTCCACTATTTTTATTAGGGTATCTTTTATGTGCACTATTTCATTATTTTATACTATTTTTTTGGAATGGTTCTCAGGAATCACTGCTATCTTGATCCCCTTTAGAGAAAGAATGTTTGTTACTGAACACTCCAATAATGTTTTGGTGAGAAAGCTTCAGAAATACTCATTTTGTAATTTTCTAATCGGGAGTACTTCTGGTAGACGCAGACCACTCGTAGTCGACTTTATCACTCCAGGTCTACCTCGAGACATAGTTGGAAATCTCAGTGGTATGACAACCTTGATAGTGTCAACACCTTTGTCCCACATTTTCCTGAGCTTCCTGTGATCTCAGTGTTTTCTATAAAAGTACTCAAACCCGATGTTGTGGGTTTTCCCTACTGCGATCTATATATGATGAATAAGAGCAGCTAATGAACCTGTTGCTCCTATAATTATGATTATAACCTATTAGAATTACTTATCTCTTACTATTATCTAAATATTGAATCACATGTAAATATATTTAATATAAATGCGTTTATTAACCAAACAATTCTAAAAAGATGGCCCGATTCAGATTGTATTGATATAGATGGGTCCATTTGACGAATCTACTGGATGCGCTTTTTACCATTAAAATCAAAATATATCCAAAAAATTCAAGCTTCCAACTCAAATGTATATTTAAACTGCAGAGCTCATCGCAATTCTTCCGGCTTTGAGGTATATTAATACAAGAGTAAGTTTGTTATATTAACAGATAGCAAAAGTTCAGTAGACACAATAATACAAATTAAATTATCAAGCTCTTCATCGGTAGTGATTATAAGAATTTTAGAAGCGGTCCAGTCACTTACGAATAAAGGTAAACGAATTTCTTTGGTTTGGATTAAGGCCCATTATGGAATTAACGGAAATGAAATAGTGGATATACTAGCAAAGGATATTACTACAACAGGGGAAACGATAGAAGAACCATTAATGCCAGTCACGACAATGGTTTAAGAAAAAACAAATGGACCAGTGGCAACAGGAATATGACATCTCATTGAAAGGTATAAGATTTCATGATATCCAACCAAAAATTCATAAAAATCCGTGGTTTTACGGTATTACAAATCGGTACTTCATTAAGACCTTAAACAGAGCAAGGTACAAACATGGTTTATATCCTTCCCACAAAAATAAACTAGGGTAGGTTAATTCTCAAAACTGCACTTGCGGAGTGTTGGGTACATTAGAACATGTGATTTTCGACTATGCAAACTTCTAGATGCTAAACCAAACGTTATACAAAAATCTACAAACAGCAGGAACTTTTAAAAAAAAATTTAAAAATAAAAAAAAAACAAAATAAAAATGAAAAACAAAACAGCGCAATGCAGACTCCTGCATATCCTTAGAGGAATCTTTATAACCTATATCCTTCTGTTCTATGATGTCCAGAAGACATCATGGTTTTTGGTCATTAAAATACCTCAGTATAGAGCTTTCAATTTTTCTTGGTGATTGATCACAGCAGTAATGTACTTAAAATTTTTTTTTGAAGATTTATGTATCCTAACTTTACCTATGCCCTCTAATCAAAGCACTTTTAGAGACTTACATGTTCTTATTCCTATCAATTAAGCGGGGACACCCCTCGAAATTCTCAACCTCATCATATCTTCTTTTATAGTTTTGTTTACTTTGTTTTTTTTTATCCTACTTAAATGAAATCTCTACAAATATACAAATTATTTTAAATTAAAGTGTTTTGTAAGAACTGTTTAATTAATATACTTTCTATAATTTAGGATTCGTAGAAAACCCCAAAAAGGAAAATACGGCGATGAATATGTTCCTGTTCCACCGAATCATCCTCGACTGTCTAAATGTAATCCTCTAACTTGGAATTGCTAATAGAGTAGAAAAGATTGTTCGATATAAAAATCTTACATTATACTGTAAACCTATACGAAATAAATAATTCTACATTTTCTTGTTTTTACGCAAAATGGAGACAATTAGCTTGGCACAATGTAATAGTATGCTTTGTTTCATTTAGTTTTTGCAACAATGTTTTGTAAATAAGTTTTTGAAGCGAAACTTCTATACTGACGTTGTATTTTACTTTTTCTCTAGAGTGAAATAGTGAGGCGAGCGTCAAGGAACTAGCGCCACAAGATGCAGTCGTCACGAGTAACGTCATGGAAGAGCGGGTCTCCACATCGATTAAAAAAACTACTACATGAAAAATAGAATAAAATAAATATCATAACACCGTACGTAGACGATAATAAAACTATGCTCGATTCCTTAACCCTTACAAACCCTGTACTCACAATCGTGAGTGTCATAACAAATTACTAAATAAAGGTCAAAATAATTTATGACTTGGTTTAGACCCGAATCGTTCTATTGTGTTATACCGCCTACCTACGTTTTTGTGCGAAAGTGGGGTTAGTTTGCAAATGCGACGAAGAATTCGTTTCTCAAAGTAGGTAGTGTTTTATTTGTTGTCATGGCGTCAAAACGTAAGTATTTATTTTGTTTATTTTTCAATGTGTAATTTTAGCGTTGATATGGAGATCATATTGTAAAATGGTTATTAATTACAGTGTTTTAAAAAAATGAATAACAAGTTTGAGATCTGGTGACACAGAACCGTATTTAGATGAATGTCATAATTGTGACCTTTGGGTCTCAATGACTACGTAGCTTACCTAAATATCTGTAAATAAATTAAATCTTTTTGTTACAGGTTCAAGTTCCAAAATTAACTTGGACGACATACGAGTGAATCCAGATAAAATCTACGACCTTTTGGATGATGTTGGTTCCGATTTTGAGTTCGAAAATGAAGACGACGATGAGTGGCAGCCTATACTTGAACCTACATGTCCTACTTATGAATCAGAAAATAGTGACTCTGATGATGATAACTCAATAAATGAAAATGTTGCTTCCACAAGTAATGCTTCAAATCCAATCGTAAAAAAGCATGAAAATAAAAACAACAAATGTCATAAAAGAGAGCAAAGTTTTACGTGAGAGAAAAGACCATTTCCTGAAGTAGATGTTTCAAATGAAGTAGTTTGAGATATTGGAGAAATATTATCGCCATTTAAATATTTTGATAAATATTTACCACAAGCATTTTTTGATTTGGCCGCAGTACGTACAAATCAATACTACGTACACAAAAATGGTAATCTACTAAAACCGCATGTAACTTCTGAAGAAATTAAAAAGTTTTTTGGAATGCATGCAATTTGGGGATGCATTAAATATCCACGAATACGTATGTACTGGCAATCAAATTTTAGACTTCCTTTTGTAGCTGATACGATGTCAAGAAATCGTTTTTTTACACTCCGCACAAACTTCCATGTTGAAGATGAAAACAGGGTCTCCAACGAAAACAAAAAAAATAATAAATTGTGGAAAGTTCAACCTATGATAGATATTATTAGAAAAAGATGTAAAGAAATTGAAAGACCAACGGGAAATTATTCAATCGATGAACAAATGATACCATTTTTAGGCAGATGTGAACTGAAGCAGTACGTCAAAAACAAACCTAGGCCCGTGGGTTTGAAAAATTTTGTAATGACTACTTCGACAGGTATTGTGACGGACTTCGAAATATATCAAGGCAACACATCTGCGTTCGCAAAATTCAAGAATTGTGGCCTAGGCTCCTCTGTCATATTATATTTCGCAAATACTTTACCGAAAGGAAGTCATATATTTTTTGACAGATATTTCAATTCTGTAACATTAATGGAGAAATTAAATAAAATTGGAGTGTATGGAACGGGTACCGTTATGATTAACAGATTACAAGCACCAGCAGCCTTCAAAAATGACAAAGAAATGCCTAGAGGAGAATCAGAACAGTTTACTAGATGTGATAGTCTAATGTGTCTTGTTAAGTGGAAAGACAATAAAGGTGTCCTGATGTTGTCTAACGCACTTAGTGTCGAGCCTGAAGCCGTAATAAAAAGATGGTGTAAATCTGAGAAACGTTTTGTCGAAGTTTCATGCCCTAATATTGTTAAAACATACAATCAGAATATGGGTGGGGTCGATACATGCGACCAAATGATGGAATTATATAGAACATATTTCAAAACTCGTAAGTGGCCATTCAAAGTAATTCTACACTTATTCGATTTGGCGATAGTAAACAGTTGGATGGAGTATATTAGGGACTGTAGGGCTAATGGTTATCGCAGGAAAGATATAATGGATTTTCTGTCATTCAGGATAGCTTTGGGAGAGTTTCTGATTGGAGGTTTGAGACCTAAAAGAAGTAATAACACAGAAGGTGCAGGGAGCGAAGATGGAGAAAATGAAGACAGATTGGAAAATCCGCAAAAGAAACTGAAACGATTTCCGGTTAAATTACCTGAAAAAGATAAACGTTACGATGGTTATGAGCATTGGCCTCTGAATGATGATTTACAAAATCCGCTTTCTCGTCGGTTGGAAGCTTGTCAAAGCCATTCACGCATACGTTGTAGTAAATGTAATATTTATTTATGTTTAAGTAAAAACAAAAATTGTTTCAAAGCATTTCATACGCGATAGTTTTAAGTAATATATGTTTACATTATGTATTAAGTTGTTCAATATAGCTGCTGTCAATATTTTTGAATAAAATATTTTAATATCGTCTTTATTTCTTTATTTTACTCAGAAGTTTTTAAGTCCCAGAGTATACAATTGTGACTATCTCACAATTGTGAGGCTGTTCTGTATGAAACCATGGCACACAATTGTGAGGGTCCTTAAAAACGTCCTGAGGGTCCTTAAAAAATTCTGAAAAAATTGAATGTCATTTGCAACCCAAATACAGTAAAAACAAGACATTGGTATCCTTCTGCAAAACCTTATCTTGTCATGGGTCTGTTAGGGTTATGCGGATTGAAGTCTTAAAATTTGATGCAGTACTGCAGACTATTTCAGAAAACATAAAAAAATTCAAATGTTCATAAACACACACAGGGTTTTCACACACAGCAATTTTGAATAATGTCGTTACAAATTCTGTTTTTTGAAACAATTAAGTTAATCCGTTTACATTTAATTATAGCCATCAAATAACTTTATAATATGTGCAATCGCGCTATCCATCGATTCATACATGTTTTTGCACCTCACTTGCGGGTAATGACTAAACATACATTTTGCGTTCATTATCATCGTGCCCTAAAACTTACTTTCTTATGGCGGGCTACGGGCAAATCGAATAGATTATTATCGAACCAAATTTAATCGATTCAAATCGAAATAAAATAGAATACAATCGAATCGATTATCGAATAGAATCAAATATAGAATTGAATAGAAATTACAACAAGTTAAAACCATCGCTCTTTACTTAGACGATAACAAAGCTAAGCTTGTCCTCTTTGGTCACTCCTAGAGTCTTTTCCTCTTTTTTTTTTATATATTTATGTGCTTATATGTAGTTTTATTATCCAATTTACTGTGGCTAATCTGTTCCAAGATCGTTAGTCAGAATTAAAATTCAGACTCTAGCCCGCTGTGGTTATTGGTTTCAACAAGAAGTAGATTTTTCTCATAATTGATCATGAATGCATTATGCATTTTCTTCGAAAATCTTGAATTTGAACATAGAATATTAGTATGCGAGAATATCATACATAACCCGAAAATAAGTATATTGTAGATTTCAAGGGAGTCGTTTGGTCTGGTAGATCTTTCAACACTGCGACCCGACAGACCATTTGTATACACTGCATCTATGATCAGTTTAAAATATCTAGGCTTCTAAGGAAGCGTATTATCCGTTCAGGAGCTACGTTTGTTAATTATCAGGTAAGAAATTGTTACAGGTATTGATAATTCTTGGAAGTGCAGATAATGGAGTGCAGAATATGCCTACTGATCCGCAAATTGTTCTTCGTAAAATGAAGAAAAGTAAGTATACACTTCTTATGTACGTGAATATGTGAATAGAATAAATTAAACTTTTGATTTCGTCACTTACTTTATTTACATTTGAAAATCATTTAAAAATACAGTATGGTATAGCAAAAAGGTGGCAGTGCTTACTTCAATGAGGAAATAAAAGGGGAGTTACTAAACTAAATTCGAATTAGTCACAATTAATATTCGGGTATCTATTGTTTTCCTACTAATTCCATTTCAACACCTCAGTCCAATAAAGTTATGTCACCATAGAACTGATCAAAGCTGTTTTTGTTCTAAACAAGGTAGTCTAAATACGTTTTTAAGTGTTATGTATTCATATGTAGAAAATATAAAACAACTAAATAGTTAAAACAAATTTACATATCATTTAATTATATACTGAAAGATACACTACCAGTCGTGGGCCATTAATATCACAAACTGCTCTAAGTTAGTGGCATCTACCCTGAGCAATTTTTATGAACAGGGTACTCAAAAGCTTTTGATCAAACTGAGTAAGTTTGTATGAGCATAATGAAGTAATCGTGAAATTAGAAAACCTTTGTTACTCATGGTGTAAAGTCAGAAAAAGTATAAAAGAGGTATCCCCTATGGTATGTAGTGAATACATGAGATTGTTTTTAGTTGAGTGGGAAGGAGGCATTTCAGTAGGTGGACACAGGGTGACTAACCTACGCTTTGCCGACGGCAGTGAGGAAGATAAGAATTAAGAATTTATATAAAGATAGTGCAAACACTCCTGACCATGGAGCTGCGCGAAGGCGGAGTCAAAATTCACGTAAAGACAGAAAGGTTCAATTTAAGTGGAATTATACAGTGCACAGTACAATGCGTTTCACATGGAAGTGGGGACTAAACCAAATTTCGTCTATGCACCGTGGTCAGGAGTGCTTGCATTATCTCTACCTACATGGTCAACACCATCTACAGAACTAGGAAACTACCTTTGGGTTGGCTAAAATCAATTTCGGCACTTTACCCAAAAAGGTAATGCACTTAAATGTGACGATTACCGTATG